CCTCACTATGTCTCTCTTTTTACTTATTATATTTGCTCTCACTCTCTTCACACACTTTCTCTCATCATGCACACACATACATTCAGCCAACACACATATATATAGGCAAAATATGGAGGTGGAGTTTACAACCTACATTTTTCTAGAGAATTCTTCTATTGGCTTCACAATTTTATTCTTCAGATTATTCATGAATGGTGGTGGTCATCATTTTCAACAAGGAATAAGTCTCTAGAATATTCTATATGCTTAAGTCCAGCAAACTCTAAAGTTGGTGATAATTTCTTCAATTCTCTCGTTCAGCACAAACTTTTCATTTTAACCTTTTTCTTCTTCTTCTCGTCTAGTCGTGTCTCAAGCTCGATGACTTTTGAAGCATTTGATCCTTTTTTCAACGCATCCATGACTTTAAATAGGTTTAGCATTTTTGCATTCTTGTTTTCTTCAAAAGTTGCATACTTGATACTTACTTTCTCACGTCCACCGAACTTTCTTATTTGTGATTGCAAATTTGTACGTACCTCGATATCTTCTTGACCTTGTCGATCCTCCGTACTCTGTGTTACTGTCATAAGCTCTTCTTTATTACTTAGCATTCGTAAGTCTTTAGTTTTTCCAGAGCTTTGTTGTGCTTCCGTGATTTCTTCTTTCGATTTGTTATCCATTTCCTTTAAATCTAGTAAATCCACCCTCTTCAGTGTCTGCTTCACCTTCTGTGGTGCCTGATCTAGCAGATCCATCCTCTGCGATATATGCGTTTCTTCCAACACTTCTTCTAATTCTAATAGTTCCTCCCTCTGCGGAGTCCACCTTGAAAACTCTTTATGAAACACGATATCCTCTTCTAAATTAATCCAATCATCTTCTCATGAGTCATCAGTCTAATCATCTTCGCAATTTATTTGCTCAGGCAAGACTACCATCAACGCTGATTCATCCTTCACGCTCGAGTTGAATTTCTTTTCTCGAATCTGCTCAATTGTTGTTGTGGTTATCTTAGCATCCCATTTCATCTCCACTATTGTATTTCTCTTGGTCATTAGAGATAGCTATATTGCCTTCTACTGACTCCTTTTTAAACCAACAATCTCTAGCATAATGGCTTCGTTTGCCACATACAAAACACAAGTCATTATTTCTTTGAAATTTCTTAGACTGCTAACCTTTCTTTTTACGACTTTGTTGAGCTCCCCTTCTTTGGTAACTTCCTTCAACTCGTCCTTCAAATTTACCTTCTTTTAATTCTTTATAATTTTGCTGATGAAAACCACCTCTTCTTTTATAGCTAAATAATGCTTCTTCATATTCTTTCTTTATCGAGACTCCTAACATTTGTCTGGTTAAAGCTTCTTGGTTGGCCAACAAATTTTCAAGATTAACTAATGAAGGCTGCTCGGGCAACCTTGTATTGCAGCGATAAAACTTCTAAATTCGGGTCTCAATCCATGTATAATTATTCTTCTCATTCGAGACTCCGAAATTTTACTTGAAGCATCTAACTCTGAAATTTCACGACAAAGAGATTTAACTTTATAAAAGTATTGACTTACGGTTAATTCTCCTTGAGTGATCGAGAGAAGCTCGTTCTTCAGAAGCTGCAACCTCAAGTCATTTTTCTTTGAGAATAGTAACGCCAACGTGTCCCATGCATCCTTTGGTGTAGTTGTCTCTTATGTGCTCCAACAAATCTTCTTCAATTGTTGTCTTTATAACAAATAAAGCTTTACCCACTTTGATTCTCCATTTCTTCACAGCTCTAGCCTTCTCTAGTGGCGTTACATCACTTCCGCCAATTACCTCCCACAGGTCTTGCCCTTGGAGATACGACTCCATGCAAGTTTGCCAAGTGGTGTAATTATGATTGTTGAGCTTCTTTACACCGCCTACCACTTGTAGGTCACCGAACATGATTTGATTTACCTCCTCGTAATCAAGCAAACTTTGTAAAAACTTCACAAACTCAAGAAGCTCCAAAAAATTCTTCCCCGACCACCTTGCTCTGATACCAATTTGTAGAGTTTAAACACCAAAAGAAAGTAATTTTTATTGATGAAATACAATTTTACACAATTTTGGACACACACACCAAAGACACTAGAACACCTCACTATGTCTTTCTCTTCACTTATTCTATTTGCTCTCACTCTCTTCACACATTTTCTCTCATCATGCACACACATACATTCAGCCAACACACATATATATAGGCAAAATATGGAGGTGGAGTTTACAACCTATATTTTTCTAGAGAATTCTTCTATCGGCTTCACAATTTTATTTTCTAGATTATTCATGAATGGTGGTGGTCTTCATTTTCAACAAGTATTAAGTCTCTAGAATATTCTATTTGCTTAAGTTTAGCAAACTCTAGATATTTAAAGTTGGTGATGATTTTTTCATAATGTTCGTCTTCAGTGCAAGTTTTCACAAACCCTATTTCTCGTGATAAATATTAATCTTCATTATTATTAGCATTTTAGAAGAATTCATCAACAAATGGGAAAAATGAAATAATTTGTTCATTTATAATATATATGCAACAATGGATTGAACAAGAAAAATAATAAAGCATTGCTACTGCAAATTTACATTAGCAAAAAAATAAATAAATAAATAAATAAAATAAAATAAAAATAAAAATTCATAACCAAACCTTTTCCATTCCCAGGACTATCTCTCACTCCATATTTCATGAAACCATGAGATAGGACATTTGTAAAAAAGGGATATACTTAACCTAGTAGAGCGAAAATAATAACAATTGAAAAGAGGTTTTCTCAACTAGGGAGGTTCATTCTCAATTAATTGTAAAAAAATGTATCTGTTCTTGTTTTGGAGCTGTACCACAGTTCAATTCGTGTAAAAAAAAATACATTATCATTACATTTCTAATTAAGCACCAATATTCATCACATATTTCCACTGATTAAAGATCTCAAAGAGAAATAATATAATCATATATTTCTTATTGAAAAATGCTATTTATATATCATCATCCTTACCCATAAGAACAGTTAGATGATTTTAAGCACCTCTACATTTAGATAAGACAATAAGCACCATAAGTACCACTTCCATCAAAAGACATATTAAAATTTCTTGTTTTTATTGTGTAATTAAGGAGCTACTATCGTTGCACGCAACATACATGCAATGTAAAGAAACAAATTCAGAGACTCGCAAAAGACACTGGCATTGTTGTGACCACTTATGAAGGCATTCACAACCATCCTTGTGAGAAACTAATGGAGACCTTGATTCCTCTGGTGAAGCAGCTTCAATTTCTCTCAGAGTTTCCAAACCTGCCCAGTTTTTGAGTCGAAGAATGAAATCTTCAAGTGCAAAATCATAGAAGATCTCATTTATGATAGAATGATTCTATCAAAATTAGAAGTATGACATGAACTTGTGTCTAACAAATATGTCAATGCTGTATAGAAATGCAAGTAAAATGTAAGGGGTGTTATGTATTTGTACAAACAAGAAATAATAAATATTACATCTGCCCCATAAAAATAGGCTTGTTTTGTTTATATTTCCGTACATTAAGAAAATGTTATTAATATAATTGAAAATAGAAAATTTTCTTACTCTTTTCCTAATATACCCCTACATTAAATAATGATTTAAATATGAGTAGTCTATACTTGTTGATAGCAATGAATAATATATAGGAGCATATTAGAAAACCAACAAATATTATTATATATACTTTCAGTAAGGAAAGTGATCAATAATTTGGAACAGAAGAAAGAGAAAATCAAGTTTATCTTTGTGGGACGAAGATGGTGTCTTTTTCCATTTCCCATTATGTATCATTGGTCTTGCCACTCGTATTACTCATCTCAATAATAGTTTTTTCCCTTCCCATTACTGTATTGCGAAGGCGTATTTGCCTAGCCTGATGGGGTCATTTGTTAGAAACTACAGAGTCATGTATGTTAGAGCCAAGTCGATTTTTGCATATTATAACAAGTTTCGACAGCCCGATTATTAACGGCATCTTAAAGTAAACTCATTCTTGTTTATTTACCATTGAAGAAGCTTTCAAATAGGTAAAGATTTTTTTCAAGTATCATATGCTTTTTAAAAAAAATTTGTTAGTACGTACTTTCAAAATTGTATTATGATAAATCATTTACATTGTAGTAATTTGTACTCTTACTATTTAAGTATTTATATATAATCGCTTTCAGTCTTCTACTCTACATGCCTATTTTAAGTCTGTCTATATAATAAACAATAATAAGAGATCGTTTCCAATCATGAAAAACAGGCAATTTCTTCAATCTTCTCCCTTTACTTTTTTGTCACACAGCTATGATCGTCCTTACAAGTAGGCAAATTACACAGATACTTTCAATTTTCCCCCTTTTTGCACAAATTTGTTACATCTCAATAATATTTTTGTCAAATCTAACTCTTCTATTTTAAAACAAATGAAGAAAATTGATCTGAAACTCAGAGAGAGAGAATTCTTTATTGATAACATTGTCAAAGATGCTAATAGAGAGGACAAAAATTTGTCACAAATGTGCTCAAAATCAAGTCTAAGCTATTAGCCTTGAAGTTGAATCTCAGACTACTAGTTTTGTTAACTCCAAATTACTACATTTGCATTCCATTTACAACATACCCCTTCGTGCAATCCGATTAATTTTTCCACATTATTTATTTATTTACTTTATATGATATAGATAATTAAAAAAAATTTTAAAAAAAAGATTATGACTTTATTACACTAAGCTTGTCTTGATAAGCTTAGGTTTGTAAAGTTTAAAACTTAACCGACACGACTTGTCGCATCTAACACCTGTTAGCAATACTCACTTCGAAGCGTTATTGCCATTTGCCAAGGCTCTTAAAAATTTAAATAGTTTTATTATTTTCATTTCGTCTCCGCATGTAGCACATTGAAGGTAAAATGATTGTGATTTTAATATGAAATATAGTACAGCTACAATATTTAAGTTTACTTCAATTAATATCAAACAAGCATGGGAATGGAGAAATTCATGCATAAACAAAACACGTCTTACACACATTGTGAGTTCATACCTACAGAAGAAGGCATTCATCACTCGCGAGTCAGAGAAAACATCATCATTGAAAGATCTGTAGTTAGTAGTTCCCAAACTAACACCACAAAACCGAGAGCACAACCCGCCAATTCTACATGCCATAAGCATTCAGAAATACATGTATAAATGACCGCGGGAGATATATTTGGCCAAGACTCACCTAGCTACCCCCCTTTAAGTCTACACATCAGTTCCCAAAAGATCCCTCGGGTGAAACGCCAGATACTCTAGGCCTACTAGCCTGTCCTATGGATGGATGATTTGGCAGTTGAGGACTCTGAGCAACTCTATCAGCCATGTGAGGTTGCAATGGTGCTCGGACATTACCTGGAAGTGAGCCCGCATTTGAGATTGGTCGAGCAGCCTGTGGTTGTGAGGTTGGCCGAAGAATAAACTGGTTTAAAGCATCAGAATAAGCTTGTCCGGATAGGGCTCCACGCATCCGAGCTGTGGGCCTCCAATTTTGGTCAGCTTGATCATAAGCATCTGTTCTTGGGACTGTTACTGATGTACCTCCTGTATTCTCTATTTGGTGGGACACAGAAGGCATCCTACGGGCATCAGGATTCAGTGAATACGTGTGCGCTCTTGATGTTTCAACGGGCCTTGCCATTTGTCCGTTTCTCTGATTAGGGACCATTAAACGAGATTGTTGACTACCAATAACGCCTGTTGACCGATCAACTCCACTTTGTGAACCTACCCCATGCATTTGAGGGCTCAAGAAATTGGCAGAGGGTAGTATTGATGATTGGACTTGTCCAAAAGACTGATTCATTGCATGAGAAGCCGCAAGGTTTGCCATCTGCAATTGACTTGTACTTTGGCGTTCATTTGAAACTCTATAAGCATTTGGCACCAAATGGGGAGCCTGAAGACCAATATTATGCTGAGATGGACGAACAGAAGGAACCGAACGGTTTTGCTGATCGCAAATCAGCAAAGAACAGAATAATTGAGAAACCATACATATTATTTGATCATACTTGTACAAGGACTGTATTACTTTATGCATAGAAACTTACCTGTATACCCGAGTACTGCTGCAATGAAGAAGAAGGCATCTGTGACACCTGAGATGAACTTGAATCGAGCATAGAGAAACCATCCGGGACCAATCGTGCAGAAGGTGAGGCTTGAGCAGCTGCTGAAGGGTTATTCTGCATAAAGGTGTTCGTACTATTTCTTGATCTCTGTTGAAGGACAGAAGCAGGGGCCTGGGCAGGCAGGGCCTGAATTGCAATTGGTGTTCTTGTTACATGGCTGGATATTGAAGGGAGCCTTCCATACTCGTTGCTCATATTTGAATTTCCAAATTGATACTGCTGCAGTTGCAAAATATTGGGCAAAGCAGTTTCACTTTCCGGCACAGAAGTTGAGAGAGGAACATTTCCATGAAAAGCGTCGAGTTCCCGACTAGAAACACCAGCAATTGGTAGATTTGATCTAACATTTGATGTCCCTGTTCCAAAGGTGGACATATAAATTCCTGACCAAAAGTCTTCGTCAATCTGACCAATGTTTTGATTAACATCACATGTGTTGGCCATTTGAGGGTTGACACTTGGAGTCTGAGTCATAGAAAGACTTTGACAGGCAGTTGGGGAAAGAAGAGAAATTAAGTTCAAGATTCATCAAACTTTTTATATCTCAATTCAAAATTCAATGATATGCTCAATGCAAATTTTTTATTATTTTTCTTCTATTATTATATGAGTACTTAAGTTTTTCATTAGGAAAAACAATGTAATTTTTTGAGACCCTTTATTTCTTTTGTACAAGGTTCATGTTCTTTAATTACATATGTGTTGATTTTAATCATGTACTTAATGCTTTGAATTACTTGATCAATAATTCAATGATTTTGAAAATCTTTTATGAATCGAGAGGTGACTTTTAGATTCAGACCACATGTTAAAATTTGGTAATTTAGTATAACGTGTGGAAATACCTATACTAATTATTGTAGTCTTATATAAAATATTAGAACTAATATTCCATCTAACTAAGATTGATTTGTATAGAGATATGATTGAATTAAGTGAATAGGCTCAATGAAAACTCAAGAGGATAAATTGAATACAATAGAAAACCGAACACTACATTAGATTTGTGAACCCTAAATTAAGATTTAAAGGTGATCTCTAGATAAAATTGCCGTTCCCAAATATTCATTCCATATTTGAATTCGAAATCAATTTTTGTATGCATCCCATTATTTTCAAGTAGTTAGATAAAAATCACAACAATTTACGATTCTTGTTTGTTTTCGTCAAATTGAAGATAGAAATAGTAAATTGAGTGTTGAATTATAGTTCTCGTAGGAACAATAATTAGGACTCAAATGTCTACTATTACTTGTTACAATGTCATACACTTACGATATAAAAAACGCAACACTTATAAATATTTATAAGTTAATCAAATTTTATTCTATCCATATATTATGTAGGACCATAATTATTACATGATAAACATGTCGCAACAATGACATGACACATTAATTCAACAAATCTAATTTTATTCTTGGAACCCATCATAAATATGTTCACTAGTTAATTGACATATCATGTCAATATTGGTTAGCATAAACTAAGCAACGATGCTTAGTAGATAATAAATGGATTCTAAAGAATGTGTAGATAATAAGTTGTAGATCCTATGAAATGTATGATAAAAATATATTTGATCAACTTATAAAAATTTAAACTTTGCCAAACGTACACTAAATCATATCGCCATGGACAACTGGTGAGAAAATTCGAGGCATACAATAAATCGATATACTGATTACTAAAGAATTTAAAATTTGAGACGCTACACCATGGAGGTTACTTTGTTTCCATCACTTGGAATAGAGTAAATCAATAAAAATCACAAAGAACATAAAATAATAGTGAGATAATATGTCAAAACAATTGCATTTGGGGCAAACTGAAACTCAAACTTGAGACTTTGAGATATGTGGAACCTGTCAAGTGAATATTTCAGGATAAATAATTCTCAAACAAAACGAAATTCACGCAATTGAAAGTGTTTGAGCAACTTAATTACTCAAAAAGTTGTGTTTATCTGCTAATAAAGATGAGTATTAATGAAGCATTGCCTCCTATTAATTATATACTTTTACACGCACACACGCCATTATTATACTGTATATTTCGTGTCTCGTGGAATCATGTTGGTTTGTCCAATAAACACTTGTTCAGAAGAAAAAGGAAATATGAATAATTTCTCTTGAACAGACTCAAAAATAGAATTGTAAGAAACAGATTGATGTGTGAATTAATGATTGATTGTTATATATATAATCAAACATTCCAATCCCGAGTCGACACGTGTCTTCCCTGATTTTGAATCTGTCTCCAAGCCTGATATATAGCATGTTTGTAGAAATGTATCAAATTCAGGATAAAAGAATATATTATTTTTTTTAAAATAAAAATATATCACATGATATATATTGTTTGACATATAAAATTATTAATTAATTTGATTATAAACATATAGAAAAAAATCCTAGCTTTGCACATTCGATACGGGGCTTACAAATTTACTATTTTATGCTTTCTTTTGGTGATAAAATTGATATAAGAAAAAAAATTCTAACTAATATTACTGAAAAAGAAAAAAACTTCAGGAAAAAAAAAAAAGGCTTCAACATGTGTGCTACATAGTTAATTTTTTCAGTGTGATGAAAATTGGGTGTGTAGGTGAAGTTATGAAAAATATAAAATGCAACCATTAGACTAAATCATAGAAGTTTTCTATCTGGGTATGCCCATCAAGAGGTATTATCTCTATCATTTTCCAAACAACCTTAACTGCACTCAATTGGTTTGTACCCCAAGAAAACCTTAAACCTAGGGTACATATTTGTCTAACATTTTTTTTTATACCACTTACTTTTTACCACATTTGAGCCAATTATCATATTATATATTGTTTGCAATTGTACCTTAAAGGAGTTGAACTGATCAAAGTAGGTGAATTGCGGTTGGCTTAATTTCTCCTGGGTACAAGTTAATTAAGGCCACTTTCCCTACATTCAAAAGGAAGCTTTCCCTTCATCCATTTGTCCATCAAGTCTAAAAATTGTTTGTCCAACTCTCTATAAATCTTTGGTCATTTCCCAGTCCAAATCTTAATAGAATCTTTGTCAACTTATGCATGGAAGACGAAAACTTCCCTTATCTTTTCGCTCCTTCATTTCCATTGGCCTCGTTGAATTCGCTGTCCCTTCTAGACCAACCCATGCAAAACTCTCGATATGCCTTAGACATTGATTTGGCTAGTTCCATGGTTAATGGAGGAGAAAACTTGGTTTTTCCAAGTTTATCGACGTTGTCTAGGAACATGAAGGAAGAGGAGAACGTAAACAAAATTAAAGCGAAATCTGGAAGAAAGAAGAAATATATCCCACCAAGGGTTGCTTTCCATACCAGAAGTGCAGAGGAAATTCTTGATGATGGATACAAATGGAGAAAATATGGGCAGAAAACTGTGAAGGATAGTATTCATCCCAGGTATAATGTGTAGAGTTTAAACACCAAAAGAAAGTAATTTTTATTGATGAAATAAAATTTTCCACAATTTTGGACACACACACACCAAAGACGCTAGAACACCTCACTATGTCTCTCTTTTTACTTATTATATTTGCTCTCACTCTCTTCACACACTTTCTCTCATCATGCACACACATACATTCAGCCAACACACATATATATAGGCAAAATATGGAGGTGGAGTTTACAACCTACATTTTTCTAGAGAATTCTTCTATTGGCTTCACAATTTTATTCTTCAGATTATTCATGAATGGTGGTGGTCATCATTTTCAACAAGGAATAAGTCTCTAGAATATTCTATATGCTTAAGTCCAGCAAACTCTAAAGTTGGTGATAATTTCTTCAATTCTCTCGTTCAGCACAAACTTTTCATTTTAACCTTTTTCTTCTTCTTCTCGTCTAGTCGTGTCTCAAGCTCGATGACTTTTGAAGCATTTGATCCTTTTTTCAACGCATCCATGACTTTAAATAGGTTTAGCATTTTTGCATTCTTGTTTTCTTCAAAAGTTGCATACTTGATACTTACTTTCTCACGTCCACCGAACTTTCTTATTTGTGATTGCAAATTTGTACGTACCTCGATATCTTCTTGACCTTGTCGATCCTCCGTACTCTGTGTTACTGTCATAAGCTCTTCTTTATTACTTAGCATTCGTAAGTCTTTAGTTTTTCCAGAGCTTTGTTGTGCTTCCGTGATTTCTTCTTTCGATTTGTTATCCATTTCCTTTAAATCTAGTAAATCCACCCTCTTCAGTGTCTGCTTCACCTTCTGTGGTGCCTGATCTAGCAGATCCATCCTCTGCGATATATGCGTTTCTTCCAACACTTCTTCTAATTCTAATAGTTCCTCCCTCTGCGGAGTCCACCTTGAAAACTCTTTATGAAACACGATATCCTCTTCTAAATTAATCCAATCATCTTCTCATGAGTCATCAGTCTAATCATCTTCGCAATTTATTTGCTCAGGCAAGACTACCATCAACGCTGATTCATCCTTCACGCTCGAGTTGAATTTCTTTTCTCGAATCTGCTCAATTGTTGTTGTGGTTATCTTAGCATCCCATTCTTCTCCACTATTGTATTTCTCTTGGTCATTAGAGATAGCTATATTGCCTTCTACTGACTCCTTTTTAAACCAACAATCTCTAGCATAATGGCTTCGTTTGCCACATACAAAACACAAGTCATTATTTCTTTGAAATTTCTTAGACTGCTAACCTTTCTTTTTACGACTTTGTTGAGCTCCCCTTCTTTGGTAACTTCCTTCAACTCGTCCTTCAAATTTACCTTCTTTTAATTCTTTATAATTTTGCTGATGAAAACCACCTCTTCTTTTATAGCTAAATAATGCTTCTTCATATTCTTTCTTTATCGAGACTCCTAACATTTGTCTGGTTAAAGCTTCTTGGTTGGCCAACAAATTTTCAAGATTAACTAATGAAGGCTGCTCGGGCAACCTTGTATTGCAGCGATAAAACTTCTAAATTCGGGTCTCAATCCATGTATAATTATTCTTCTCATTCGAGACTCCGAAATTTTACTTGAAGCATCTAACTCTGAAATTTCACGACAAAGAGATTTAACTTTATAAAAGTATTGACTTACGGTTAATTCTCCTTGAGTGATTGAGAGAAGCTCGTTCTTCAGAAGCTGCAACCTCAAGTCATTTTTCTTTGAGAATAGTAAGGCCAACGTGTCCCATGCATCCTTTGGTGTAGTTGTCTCTTATGTGCTCCAACAAATCTTCTTCAATTGTTGTCTTTATAACAAATAAAGCTTTACCCACTTTGATTCTCCATTTCTTCACAGCTCTAGCCTTCTCTAGTGGCGTTACATCACTTCCGCCAATTACCTCCCACAGGTCTTGCCCTTGGAGATACGACTCCATGCAAGTTTGCCAAGTGGTGTAATTATGATTGTTGAGCTTCTTTACACCGCCTACCACTTGTAGGTCACCGAACATGATTTGATTTACCTCCTCGTAATCAAGCAAACTTTGTAAAAACTTCACAAACTCAAGAAGCTCCAAAAAATTCTTCCCCGACCACCTTGCTCTGATACCAATTTGTAGAGTTTAAACACCAAAAGAAAGTAATTTTTATTGATGAAATACAATTTTACACAATTTTGGACACACACACCAAAGACACTAGAACACCTCACTATGTCTTTCTCTTCACTTATTCTATTTGCTCTCACTCTCTTCACACATTTTCTCTCATCATGCACACACATACATTCAGCCAACACACATATATATAGGCAAAATATGGAGGTGGAGTTTACAACCTATATTTTTCTAGAGAATTCTTCTATCGGCTTCACAATTTTATTTTCTAGATTATTCATGAATGGTGGTGGTCTTCATTTTCAACAAGTATTAAGTCTCTAGAATATTCTATTTGCTTAAGTTTAGCAAACTCTAGATATTTAAAGTTGGTGATGATTTTTTCATAATGTTCGTCTTCAGTGCAAGTTTTCACAAACCCTATTTCTCGTGATAAATATTAATCTTCATTATTATTAGCATTTTAGAAGAATTCATCAACAAATGGGAAAAATGAAATAATTTGTTCATTTATAATATATATGCAACAATGGATTGAACAAGAAAAATAATAAAGCATTGCTACTGCAAATTTACATTAGCAAAAAAATAAATAAATAAATAAATAAAATAAAATAAAAATAAAAATTCATAACCAAACCTTTTCCATTCCCAGGACTATCTCTCACTCCATATTTCATGAAACCATGAGATAGGACATTTGTAAAAAAGGGATATACTTAACCTAGTAGAGCGAAAATAATAACAATTGAAAAGAGGTTTTCTCAACTAGGGAGGTTCATTCTCAATTAATTGTAAAAAAATGTATTTGTTCTTGTTTTGGAGCTGTACCACAGTTCAATTCGTGTAAAAAAAAATACATTATCATTACATTTCTAATTAAGCACCAATATTCATCACATATTTCCACTGATTAAAGATCTCAAAGAGAAATAATATAATCATATATTTCTTATTGAAAAATGCTATTTATATATCATCATCCTTACCCATAAGAACAGTTAGATGATTTTAAGCACCTCTACATTTAGATAAGACAATAAGCACCATAAGTACCACTTCCATCAAAAGACATATTAAAATTTCTTGTTTTTATTGTGTAATTAAGGAGCTACTATCGTTGCACGCAACATACATGCAATGTAAAGAAACAAATTCAGAGACTCGCAAAAGACACTGGCATTGTTGTGACCACTTATGAAGGCATTCACAACCATCCTTGTGAGAAACTAATGGAGACCTTGATTCCTCTGGTGAAGCAGCTTCAATTTCTCTCAGAGTTTCCAAACCTGCCCAGTTTTTGAGTCGAAGAATGAAATCTTCAAGTGCAAAATCATAGAAGATCTCATTTATGATAGAATGATTCTATCAAAATTAGAAGTATGACATGAACTTGTGTCTAACAAATATGTCAATGCTGTATAGAAATGCAAGTAAAATGTAAGGGGTGTTATGTATTTGTACAAACAAGAAATAATAAATATTACATCTGCCCCATAAAAATAGGCTTGTTTTGTTTATATTTCCGTACATTAAGAAAATGTTATTAATATAATTGAAAATAGAAAATTTTCTTACTCTTTTCCTAATATACCCCTACATTAAGTAATGATTTAAATATGAGTAGTCTATACTTGTTGATAGCAATGAATAATATATAGGAGCATATTAGAAAACCAAATATTATTATATATACTTTCAGTAAGGAAAGTGATCAATAATTTGGAACAGAAGAAAGAGAAAATCAAGTTTATCTTTGTGGGACGAAGATGGTGTCTTTTTCCATTTCCCATTATGTATCATTGGTCTTGCCACTCGTATTACTCATCTCAATAATAGTTTTTTCCCTTCCCATTACTGTATTGCGAAGGCGTATTTGCCTAGCCTGATGGGGTCATTTGTTAGAAACTACAGAGTCATGTATGTTAGAGCCAAGTCGATTTTTGCATATTATAACAAGTTTCGACAGCCCGATTATTAACGGCATCTTAAAGTAAACTCATTCTTGTTTATTTACCATTGAAGAAGCTTTCAAATAGGTAAAGATTTTTTTCAAGTATCATATGCTTTTTAAAAAAAATTTGTTAGTACGTACTTTCAAAATTGTATTATGATAAATCATTTACATTGTAGTAATTTGTACTCTTACTATTTAAGTATTTATATATAATCGCTTTCAGTCTTCTACTCTACATGCCTATTTTAAGTCTGTCTATATAATAAACAATAATAAGAGATCGTTTCCAATCATGAAAAACAGGCAATTTCTTCAATCTTCTCCCTTTACTTTTTTGTCACACAGCTATGATCGTCCTTACAAGTAGGCAAATTACACAGATACTTTCAATTTTCCCCCTTTTTGCACAAATTTGTTACATCTCAATAATATTTTTGTCAAATCTAACTCTTCTATTTTAAAACAAATGAAGAAAATTGATCTGAAACTCAGAGAGAGAGAATTCTTTATTGATAACATTGTCAAAGATGCTAATAGAGAGGACAAAAATTTGTCACAAATGTGCTCAAAATCAAGTCTAAGCTATTAGCCTTGAAGTTGAATCTCAGACTACTAGTTTTGTTAACTCCAAATTACTACATTTGCATTCCATTTACAACATACCCCTTCGTGCAATCCGATTAATTTTTCCACATTATTTATTTATTTACTTTATATGATATAGATAATTAAAAAAAATTTTAAAAAAAGATTATGACTTTATTACACTAAGCTTGTCTTGATAAGCTTAGGTTTGTAAAGTTTAAAACTTAACCGACACGACTTGTCGCATCTAACACCTGTTAGCAATACTCACTTCGAAGCGTTATTGCCATTTGCCAAGGCTCTTAAAAATTTAAATAGTTTTATTATTTTCATTTCGTCTCCGCATGTAGCACATTGAAGGTAAAATGATTGTGATTTTAATATGAAATATAGTACAGCTACAATATTTAAGTTTACTTCAATTAATATCAAACAAGCATGGGAATGGAGAAATTCATGCATAAACAAAACACGTCTTACACACATTGTGAGTTCATACCTACAGAAGAAGGCATTCATCACTCGCGAGTCAGAGAAAACATCATCATTGAAAGATCTGTAGTTAGTAGTTCCCAAACTAACACCACAAAACCGAGAGCACAACCCGCCAATTCTACATGCCATAAGCATTCAGAAATACATGTATAAATGACCGCGGGAGATATATTTGGCCAAGACTCACCTAGCTACCCCCCTTTAAGTCTACACATCAGTTCCCAAAAGATCCCTCGGGTGAAACGCCAGATACTCTAGGCCTACTAGCCTGTCCTATGGATGGATGATTTGGCAGTTGAGGACTCTGAGCAACTCTATCAGCCATGTGAGGTTGCAATGGTGCTCGGACATTACCTGGAAGTGAGCCCGCATTTGAGATTGGTCGAGCAGCCTGTGGTTGTGAGGTTGGCCGAAGAATAAACTGGTTTAAAGCATCAGAATAAGCTTGTCCGGATAGGGCTCCACGCATCCGAGCTGTGGGCCTCCAATTTTGGTCAGCTTGATCATAAGCATCTGTTCTTGGGACTGTTACTGATGTACCTCCTGTATTCTCTATTTGGTGGGACACAGAAGGCATCCTACGGGCATCAGGATTCAGTGAATACGTGTGCGCTCTTGATGTTTCAACGGGCCTTGCCATTTGTCCGTTTCTCTGATTAGGGACCATTAAACGAGATTGTTGACTACCAATAACGCCTGTTGACCGATCAACTCCACTTTGTGAACCTACCCCATGCATTTGAGGGCTCAAGAAATTGGCAGACGGTAGTATTGATGATTGGACTTGTCCAAAAGACTGATTCATTGCATGAGAAGCCGCAAGGTTTGCCATCTGCAATTGACTTGTACTTTGGCGTTCATTTGAAACTCTATAAGCATTTGGCACCAAATGGGGAGCCTGAAGACCAATATTATGCTGAGATGGACGAACAGAAGGAACCGAACGGTTTTGCTGATCGCAAATCAGCAAAGAACAGAATAATTGAGAAACCATACATATTATTTGATCATACTTGTACAAGGACTGTATTACTTTATGCATAGAAACTTACCTGTATACCCGAGTACTGCTGCAATGAAGAAGAAGGCATCTGTGACACCTGAGATGAACTTGAATCGAGCATAGAGAAACCATCCGGGACCAATCGTGCAGAAGGTGAGGCTTGAGCAGCTGCTGAAGGGTTATTCTGCATAAAGGTGTTCGTACTATTTCTTGATCTCTGTTGAAGGACAGAAGCAGGGGCCTGGGCAGGCAGGGCCTGAATTGCAATTGGTGTTCTTGTTACATGGCTGGATATTGAAGGGAGCCTTCCATACTCGTTGCTCATATTTGAATTTCCAAATTGATACTGCTGCAGTTGCAAAATATTGGGCAAAGCAGTTTCACTTTCCGGCACAGAAGTTGAGAGAGGAACATTTCCATGAAAAGCGTCGAGTTCCCGACTAGAAACACCAGCAATTGGTAGATTTGATCTAACATTTGATGTCCCTGTTCCAAAGGTGGACATATAAATTCCTGACCAAAAGTCTTCGTCAATCTGACCAATGTTTTGATTAACATCACATGTGTTGGCCATTTGAGGGTTGACACTTGGAGTCTGAGTCATAGAAAGACTTTGACAGGCAGTTGGGGAAAGTTTTGTGTCTTCACTTTCGCGAGTGGCCACCGCATCCATCCCATCATCTATTTCTGTAAGATCAAGAATCTCCACTGGTGCACCTGGCAAACCAGTAGATTCAATTTCTGAAGGGGCATCATGTCCAACATTGGAGGTCTTATCCTCTGGTTTCTTTGTAGTATCTTCAGTTTCAATGACGGCATTCCATGACCCGTCTGAGGAGATGATTACCTCTTTGACATTTGGTCCAACCTCTTTCAACACCTGAAGAAAATCCAACTACATCACTCAAAAAGTAAATGAATTCAAGAATATAGGGGTGAATGCAAATAAGCTACTTGCCTTCGCCATTTTTTGATCAAGGCGGATATCAGTGAAGCAGACATGCTGATTACAATGGGGACAGCGCCATGATGGTCTTCTTGAATTTATATTCACATAGTTGTCATAATCAAAACACTGAAATGAAAAGAAATATAAGTGTCAACTAAGATTAAGTAAAAAATAAGGTTAAGCAGGAAGGGAAGCAAATGAGAATCAGACCAGATATATGAGAATGAAAAAATATGCACTAATCAAAATTTGCTTAGCACAGTAAATTAAGTTTCCAATCTTGGGACCCAGGTCATTTTTCTCTCTGATTACAGAAGGATTAGTTTTTGTGTTTTTACGTAACAGAACCTGCAGGCAGGGGTTTGGCATTGACCCCAAATCCTGCTCAAACAGAGAGATTACTTCATCTAACTCTCATCTCATTTAGTCTTGTAGGCAAAACAGAACCTTAGAGATGAATAACAATAAGCTAGCCGAATATGCTTATGCACACACTAAAGCTAGACCATCATAACTGAAGAATTCAATACACTTGACCATAATTGGCTTAGAAAGAAGGATTATTTACTTAAAACACTTCAACTTGCACACAAATTAATAGACTAAAAGGTGAAATATTCCCTAGCAGGCTTGAAATCCTGCAACTTCTCTTCAGCTATGTGATGCTACAGTTACCTGGAGATGTTTGCATGAATGTCCTTTGACTGGAGTTTTAATACGCCTGAAGCTGTTCAAGAGTCAGAACGAAAATAACATAATCAGCAATGCATCAAGGGCATAAAGTAGAGTTGAGATTCATGGAATGATGATTTGATAATAATTCATATCATCAGTGAAATAAATATGAGAAAATCAAATGGTAAACAT